GGACTAAAACAGTCCAGTCAGAGGGAACCATGGGGCTCAGATGGGCATTACCAGATCAGAGGCTTGCTCTTTCCTTTTGGGCTTAAACCGGAGGGGATGAGACCCCTCTGCTCCGTGACACCTGTCCTGACACCTAAGTTATTTTATGTTTTTTGTTTATTTAGAGACAGAGTTTTGCCCTAGTTGCCCAGGCTGGAGTGCAGTGTCGCGATGTCAGCTAACCACAACCTCCACCTTCCGGGTTCAAGCGATTCTCCTGCCTCAGCCTCTTGAGTAGCTGGGATTACAGACATCCACCACCACACCCAGCTAATTTTGTATTTTTAGTAGAGACAGGGTTTCTCCAAGTTGGTCAGTGTGGTCTCAAACTTCTGACCTCAGGTGATCTACCCACCTCAGCCTCCCAAAGTGCTGGGATTACAGGCCTGAAACCCAAGTTATAACAGCCAATGCTTACTGAAGGTTTGCCTGGGTCAGACGCCCTGCGAAGCCCTTGACATTGATCATCTCATTTCATGCCTTGCCACAAGCAGGAGACAGGTGCTATGATCATCGTCATTTGTTGGATGAGAACATCAAGGCACAGAAAGGTTAGGCAGACGCCCCAGATCCCACTGCTGGGCAGGGAGCCAGGCAGTCTGGCTCTCCCAGCCACGGTGCCCACACTGCCAGGGCCTGCCCGCCCCAGAGCTGGAGAGACACACCAGCCCCACGGAAGGCAGAGTAGAGGTGGAGAGGAATGGATTTTCATGACAAAATCTGAGCCGCAGGTCCAGCTGTGTCTGAAGCTACACTTAGTCACCTTAGGACTTTTGGTTGTGAAAACCAGTAAAGTCCCCCCCTTCTTTTCTCCTTAAGCTGGCTTGAGTTTTTTTCTTCCTTTTGTCTGTTGCTTGCAAGAGAAAGAAGCCTGATTACTTTCCAGTCCTTCCAGGCAAGTACCCCTAACTGATATTCCATTTGCAGCTTGCACACCGCCGCTGCTCGGTGAACGCCAGCAGACACGGATGGACTGCGCTCCCTTCCTGTCCATGCACCGCCGGCTCTGTACCCTGACACCCGACTGTGGCCAGCCCAGCGCCTCTTCCCCTTTAGGCTCCCAGCGAGGCCTTGTTCCCTAGCAACCACCTCAATTAGGCAACCATGCCATTTATCGGGATGCCAATTAATTATAATGATCTTAATGCTCTTCCAATTAGACAGCGCCTTCAATCCGGCTGGCCCAGGGGTGTCTGCAGAATCTCCACCAAGGCCCATTCCAAGGAGACCCAGGGAAAGCAGGTCTCAGGGAGGGCTCCCTCACCTGCAGGTCAGCATTGAGAGGCCCCCATCTTCCACATCCACACAGACCTAGGCTTGACATAGAGCACACTGGCACCACCTGCATGGCCACCTTTCCAAGGCCAGGCCAGCGAGACTCCATCACCGACCACAGGAAGGTCTCACCTCTAGGAGAGCTTTCGCCCTCTGGCCATTGTGCTTTGAGTGGGCTGCAATCATCATCTCAGATCCCCTGGCTTTTCTATCAGTTGCATTTGATGTTTTGCTTTGCATCTGGCTGGGAGACAGGAGAGTGGAGTGTGTGTCTGCTCACAAGCAGAAGGAAAAGCACCAGGCAGGTGCATGTTTTCCTCGGGGCAAAACACCCCAAATACAAACCGGGGACTCTCCGTCCAAACAGTGAGGTTTATGGAAAGTTGTGGGGCTTCTACTTTGCAAAGTTTTACTGTCTGAGGTGTTTTCTTCCCCTGCATGTGTGTTTCTTCTACATCTGGGACAAAAGCCAAGGTCATGACGGAGAGCCCAGTGGTTCCAAATGGACCCTGGAGCTTGAGGGCCTCTTGAATTCCTGCTCTACCCGTGACCACCTGTAGGCAAGTCACAATCCTCTCTGTGCCACAGTTTCCTTTTTTTTTTTTCTTTTAAGACAGAGTCTTACACTATCACCCAGGCTGGAGTGCAGTGGCACCATCTCGGCTCACTGCAACCTCCACCTCCCGGGTTCAAGCGATTCTCCAGCCTCAGCCTCCAGAATAGCTGGGACTACAGGAGTGCACCACCATGCCCAGGTAATTTTTGTATTTTTTAGTAGAAACGGGATTTCACCATACTGGACAGGCTGGTCTCAAACTCCTGACTTTGTGATCTGCCTGCCTCGGCCCCCCTCAAAGTGCTGGGATTATAAGTGTGAGCCACTGCATCATTTTTAGCATGGCAACAATTGCAGTACTTACCTCATAAGTTGTTCGTGTGGATTTAATGAGTGAGGTAGAAGGGCTTAGATCAACGCCTCAGATCAGGCCTGTACAAAACTACTTAAGTGTTATCAATTATCTTAAGTCTGGAATCAACCCTTTAACTACAAGCTGGTCAGAAGTGCTGATATTCTTGTGTGGGACAGGGCTTCTGGATGCCTTCTGCAGGACTCAAGTCTACGATCAGATAATAGCCAACAGCTTAACAGAGTTGGGTGATATCCTGCCTGGTTAACCCAATTGCCCTCTTGAGGCAGGTCCAGGCAGATAAACCGGTGCCAGAAAAAGGGAGCAGGAAATGTTAGCTCCCAAATCAGGTGTGAAACCGCATATCAACTCGGTCCTTTGGACAGCTGCTGAACTGGGGGACACGCGCGCGCACACGAGTACAGGCGCGCACACTGCTACGCTGTCCTCCTCCAAGCCCAGGCTTTTACAGTCAACTCATCATTCTACTCTCAAGGTTGAAAATTTAACATGTTATTAGGGTTTCAGAAAAAGCCATAAATTCAAATAAAAAACCCAAGAAGTACACACAAAGCTCAAACCCCAAACCCACACTGACCCACAGCTGCAGCAGTGATGCCAACATAATGGCTTTTATGTACATAAACTTGGCCAGGGAAGGAAGAGACCTCGGTGTACAAAGGTCCAACGCACGTCCGCCAAGCCCACCACCTTCGCCTTTCAAGCTGCTTATTAGAACGCTAAATTACACACCCGACAGGCTGTCTGGTTGAGTTTTCTCTTCTCTATGATGTGGGACAGACAAAGCTGGGGAGAACATCTCTTACAGAAAAAGGGCCCTCATTCTGTCCTCTCCACCCCCCTTCCTATACTTAATGATTGGCTCTAATTTAATTAGAAACCTCTGGTGGTTCCGTAATGGGGGGCGGAGGCTTAGTAAAGAAATCCCCTTCACTATTCACTACAAGCTGAAATCCGGAGAGAGCGTAGATCAGGGGGTGTCCTTCAGAGAAGGCCCGTCTCACCTGCTCCCTATCTCCCCCTGAGAACCTGCTCCAGCGCAGCATCCCCCTCTCTGCCCTAAAGGGGGGGAGGCCCTGTGGGAAAGAGGCAGGAGACAGATGGAGGGGCGAGAGGGCGGGGTCCCAACACGCACAGATGAGCAAATACCCAGATTGAAACGTAAGCTGAATGTAATTACTTGGTTAATTAAATATTGACTTTTAACTCAAAAAGTGATTAAAACAAGCTGCAGGAAGACTGTCCAGAAAGGGGGGTAGGGAATGAATCACAGCTTTCAAGAAGGGGGAGGAGGAAGAGGAGGGGGTTGTCACAGGCAGGTCTAGCTTGCTCTTCCTACTGTGTGCTGGGCCTACTGCGTGCAGGGGGAGTGGTCCTCGGCCTCTGGGCAGGTGGGGAGTTGCGGACCGGGGCCACTGTGCAAACCATGATTGCAGGCTTCTCTTTCCACCTTCCACCCTGAGACGGCATCTCTCTACCCTGCTGCCCTCCAAGTGAACCGGCAGCTTCTGGCGCGCAGGAGCCAGATCCTGTTGAGCCGCGTTTCCCTGGAACAGAACGCGGTGCCTGGCACGAGGGGGTGCTCCAGAAATGCTTGTAGAACGAATGAACGAACTACTATAAGGGCTGTTTGTTTGGAAAAGTGCACTCCTAGAATTCACCGCTAGACTTCTGAAGCCCCGGGAGCTGGGGAGGGGAGCATCTCTCCGCCGCGCGATGGAAACTGGTTCTGCCCTGGCCTGGCAGGAAGTCTGCCTTTTCGATCCTATTTGTCCTTTTGGTGTCTGCGAGTTTCCAGTCACTCTGAAGATCCGGGCCACGGCTTCGCCGAGTCCTGCCCGGACAAGCCCCACGTGTGCTGGCTTCTAGCCCATCCCTTGGGTCTAAACCCAAAGGGTCAACAAGGCCATGCCCCTGCGGACGGCGGGCCCAGGCGCGTTTCCCCCGGGGTTGCCCGGGCCCGGCGTGGCGCGTCCGCGGGTCAGGGGCGCGGCGGGAAGTCCTCGCCCTCCCGCCCAGCCCGCCCGCCCAGCCAGCCAGCGGGGTCAAACAGGTCATCCCCCTGCGGCCGGCCGGCGCCAGAGCCTCCCTCCTGCCCGCGGGGTCCCACCTCCGCGCGCAGCGCTGGGGCCAGTGCCGGGCGGTCGGGACCGGCTCTAGCTTACCTGGGCGGCGCTCGCGGCCGGGCTCACGCCGGGGAAGGCTTCGGCCACCGGGAGCCCCCGCCCGAGCTCCGAGCACCCTCGCCGCCCACCTGCCCCCGTGCCCCACTCACCAGCGCGCACTGCCCTGGCAGCCTCACCCGGCGTTGGGCGCCTCCGCCTCTGCCGCAGCCCAGCCGGGCCGCGGGGCGCAGGGGACTCCGCGCCGCCGCTGCTCTGCCGCCGCTACAGCCGCTGCCGCCGCCGCTGCTGCATCCCCCCGGCGAGCGCGGCTGCTCCTCCTCCTCCCTCCTCCCCGCCCCCCAGCGCCGCCGCCGCCCCCGGCCCCCGCCCCGCGCGCCGCCCCAGCCAAAGTCCGGCTCCTCGCCCCGCCCTGGCAGCTCTGAAATCGCCCCAGCCCGGCTGGCCGCGCGGCCCCAGCCAGCCCTTTGGCACCGCGCGGCCCGCCCCCCCGCCTGCTCGCCTGCCGGTCGCCGGCCTCCGCGCAGGGGAGGCAGGCGCGCGCCGGTGCGGGGAGCGTCGGGCCGTGAGCCGCGGAATGCGGGGGCCCAGTCGCGGAGCCCTCCTCGAGCCCTCCGCGCGCGAGCGCTTTTACCTCCAGGTCGGGGGACGCGCGGCCCGCGACCCGGTCCTGCCCGTCCGCGGCGCACGGCCCCGGCCCCGAAGTCCAGCTCGGGACGGGGCAGTGGACGCAGAGCTGGGGTCCCGGCGGCTCTCGGCCTCCCGATGCCTCAGGACCCCGCTGGCCGCGCTCCCGGCGCCGAGCGCGCACCCTCGCTGGGACACACAGACGAACACTCACCCGACACACACTCGCGCCCGCTCGCCCTCGGCGGAGAGTTGAAACAGATGTGGGATTAGCCCAGGAGCTGGAAAGGAGGGAGGGACCCGAGCCAGAGCGTGTGTGCGCGCGGGTGTGTGTGTGTGTAACACGCACACCAGGGGGCATCTCTAATAAATCAAATATACTGATACATTCAGGAGGGCCATCGATCCGGTCCACTTGGCTGGAAACGAAGTGAATCTGCCTCTTTTCTGCTTTCTTCTCTCTCGGAGCTGGAGGGAGCCAAGTGTCCCGCGGGGCGTGCGACAGCCCCGGCCGGGCGCTTGCCTCGTAATGACACGTTAATAAATGTTTTCTTTTATCTGATTTCACAGGACTCGCTCCGGTCTGCAAACACTCGACTGCCTTTGCTGAAAGCCTCGCGCTCGCCTCTAGCCACACATTGGCCGTCGGAGAGGCCGGCGCCGGCCGCGACCCGCAGCTCAGTCGCAGGGCGAACGGAGCTGCCGGTGCGCGCCCCAGAGCTCCCCGAAAAATTAACTTGGGCTTGAGTGAAAATAACAGCCGTTGCCCAGAATTGGCCCGGGAGTAGCAAAGAAAGGAGAAACCGGGTTCCTCCGAAAGGGGAGGAATTCGACTCAAGGGGGTGCTGTCTACCGTGGTTTCCGCGGTCCCTCGCGCCACGGAAGAGGCCGGAGTGGGGCCCCGCCTGACGCGGGTAGGCAAAGAGCGGACAGAGAACCCAAAAGCAGCTGCAGAAAACACGGCCAAGCTGCTAAGGGGAAACAGACGCTGCCGTAGGAAAGCACTTGTAAGCAGCAGTCACTTATTAAACCTTATGACAATCTCACACAGTTAAGTTACTCTCCCCGTTTTACCATGGAAACCAGGAGAGGTTAAGTAACTGTCTGAAGATCACACAATTGTAAGTGGTGGATCCTGCGAACCCAAGAAGCCTTAGCTGCAGGCTCATGCTCTTAAATCCAAGGATGTTTTTACTTTTTAACTCAGCGTCTCCTTTCTCTGGTGTGATCTTCCATGCTAGAGTTGTCAGACTTAACAAATAAATACAGACATCCACAGGGAGGAGCTTAATACTGAAAAAGTCTTCATGTTTTAATCCGAGATTCAAATCGGATCTCCTGACTGGAATTAGGGCTGTAGGCTCCTCCCCATAACCTCCATTAGCCACCTTAATCAAGTTAGAGCCTAAATAAATCAAAAACGCCGGGCGCGGTGGCTCACGCCTATAATCCTAGCACTTTGGGAGGCCAAGGGGGAGGGGTGGATCACCTGAGGTCAGGAGTTCGAGACAGCTTGGCCATCATGGAGAAACCCCATCTTAAAAAAAAAAAAAAAAGAAGAAGAAGAAACACCTTGAACTTGCTTTTCCAAATCCAATGCTGGCCCTACCTTTGGTATCACTGAGCAGGCTGATCGGCTCCCACTTTCTTTGCCTTGGGACAGAATATCAGGCTTCACTATCATAGACCAAAAAAGAATGGACACCCCTCTCCTTCCGCCTCATCTCTGCAGAAGGACACACATATCATTTAGAATTTTCTAGTAGTGGCATTAGAAAGTAAAAAGAAACGGATGAGGTCCAGGCACAGTGGCTGGAGCCTGTAATCCCAGCACTTTGGAAGGCCAAGGTGGGTGGATTGCTTGAGCTCAGGAGTTCGAGACTAGTGTGGGCAACATGGTGAAACTCCATTTTCACAAGAAATACAAAGATTACGCTGGGTGTAGTGGCATGCACCTGTGGTCCCAGCTACTCGGGAGGCTCAGGTGGGAGAATCACTTGAGCCTGGGAGGTCAAGGCTGCAGTGAGCCATGACTTCCACTGTGCTCCAACCTGGGTGACATAGTGAGAGCCTGTCTGAAAAGAAAGCAGGTGAAATTAATTTTAATATTTATCGTTTACTTAACCTAGTATATCCAAAATTGATCTCAACGTGTAATCAATATAAAATGATTTGTGAGATCTTTTTAGATTATTTTTTCTTACTAAGTTTTGTAACCCGGCGTACATTCTATGCTGACGGCACATCTCATCTCAATTTGGACCAGCCACGTGCGGCTTAGGGTTCCCATGCTGGACAATGCAACTCTGGTAGGTTCGGTGGTCAGTGGCCATTTCCACCAGGTAATCCTCCTGACAATCTTTCAAGAAAACTGATGCTCAGAGAGAGAAATCGACTTGCTTATAGTCAAAAACTTGGCCAGTAGGATTTCAACCCACTTGAGGCTGTCCCTAGTTTTGGGACATGTACCCCACTGCAGAAGCAATTTTCTTACTGGGTCCTCAGTGCCCCTTGGAGGTGCCTCTGAGACCTGGAGTGGAGGGAGGCCCAGGAATGGGATCTGCCTGTTTCCTACTTTTTATGTTGGGTTCTGAAGAATATTTCAGGGGTGGGGAAATTTCCACTGCAGAAAAAGTTTTTAAAAACCACTGCATTACTGCACAGTGCCCTTCAGGCCTCAAGTTCATGAACATGGCTCTCCTGCCTACAATGTTTCCCTCCATCCTTCTCTACTCATCAGGTAACCCCAGTCAGGGAGGGGAAGCTTACAATCCCTTCTTCTGGGGCTGCGGGCCTGGCTGAGGTGTGGCATTTGCTTAACTTTTTGGATATGTTCTGTTGCCATTGTTGGTGTTCAAAGAGCTTATCCTTCCTTAAGTAGACGGGGACAGATCTTGTGTGTGCGTGCATGTGTACCTGTGTCTGAGCACATGTGTGTGTGTGTGTGTGGTCATTGTAGGCAGCTGCTGTGGGTCACGTGTTTTAGCCTGGACTTAACTCACTGGCTCAGACACCCATGAGGTCAGAGGGTCTGCAAAGCTCCTCTGGCCATGTTTTTTTTCCCCATAATTCCTAACAAACTCCCTGGTCCTCTGGGTTCAAGACCTCAGCCTGTTTTCCAGGTCCTTCCAGGCAGGTGAGGACTGCAGTCCCCATTCTGGAGCTCGGTGTCTGTCTGGGAGACATGAGGGGCCTCGAGGACTCACATGTCCCCCAGTGGGGCTCAGCAGAATACTGGGCACCCCCGTGGCCTCTGATACTCCAGTCCCTGCCGCCTTCACTCACACCGGGACAGCCTTCCTCCTCCCAAATCCGTCACCCCCCATGACATCTCTTGGTATGACCCTGACCATCCTAGCTGGACAATCCAGCTTTTCAACTCCTCACACCGCCCCATCCTCCCCCGCATTGTTGATTTAACCTCAGGGGGACCTTTCTCTTGACGCCTCCATGCCTCGTTTCTTCCCTCTGCAAATTCCTCGGCCGTCCTTTTGTGCAGAACACTGTCCAGCTCTATCTCCCTTGCAAAGCCAAGGTTGCTATTTTCTTCCCTTGACTCCTATGCAACAATTAAACAAAACTCATTCTTGCTATGTGTTTCTTTATCTTCATCAAGAGGCTGAAACTCAATCTGATTGTCCGAGCACTTCTGGCTGGATTTGGATTGGAGTCGATGGGATTTTATGACGGTTGTAAAAGTCAAGCTTTTAACATGTCTCAAACAAATTGGCGTGTAAAGGAGAAACGTTAGAAGTAGGAACATGGCTGCAGATGGGAGTCTTGGGAATGCGAGTCGTAGAACTGGGGCACAGGTGGCTTTAATAACGCACACAAGCTTGGCTGTAAGTTGCCTTTACAAGAGCAGAAGAGGCTGCGGAGCCACTCTCAGGAGGCTGAGATCCAACTTCTCAGCTCCTGAGTGCAGACAGTTTTGCATGGGTTTTAAAATACAAATTCCAGGATCATCCCTCACAATATAAATCTGTGGCTAATTCTGCTGAATTTTCACTTAGACCCAAGCTGTGTTGTTGGTAGAAATGCAATGGCGTTACAGAAAAACTGTTTATATTTCTTGAGATATTGTGATAATGAAAAACAGTACCAGAAAGCCCCATTAAGTAAGAAGAACATTAATTGTATTGCCTGCTGCCTCCCTGGGCCAGCACACTGACACAGACATGCTTTACTTCAGCAAAACACGGTTAATCTTTGCAGCATGGTACCCATGTTCCCCTTTAATTACACATAATTGTATAGTCTAATTTATTCTAACGCTTGATGCCTAAAAGTGCACATTTATGAATCAAGGGTTAGTTTGGGAGGGAGGAGAATTATAAACAGGTATAATTGCAGTCTCCTGGGGACTGCTTATGAGTGATTTTAAAGAAGGATGATGTTTATTCTGAACTCTTACTAGTGAGAGACAGTAGGTCTCTAGTTATGAGTGATTTTAAAGAAGGATGATGTTTATTCTGAACTCTTACTAGTGAGAGACAGTAGGTCTCTAGTCAAGGCACTGTTCTAAGAACACAGATAACAGGACAATTTGTCTAGTTGGTTAACATGCTAGTGGTTTTCCTTTGGATAAGCGGGCAAGAAAGATTAAAGATGTGGGTTCCACATATTTTGTGATATGATGAAATCCAGGCACACAGACAGCATCAGTATATGTGCAATTGAGGATTAAAATGAGTAATGTGGCCCCAGGCAGCACAGCTGCAGCTCTCCGTGGACGAGGGAGAGTGCGTGGAACTCTGCTGGAAGATAGTTTTCTCAAGGGGAAAAGTAAGGTCCATTTGACCCTTAGTGCATTTCACTTTAGGGCTCTCTCTGGAACAGTGCGTCTAGTTTTGCAATCGTATTCCAGAAAAATCACCTTCAAGCTTTGATCATAATTAATTAATCAATTATGATGAATGTTGACGATGATTTAGTAAAAGTGGAATGATGACTTAGTGTTCCTCCAGGGCAGAGGTTTCTAAGGAACCTTGGCTCTGCCTCCACTGTCCGGCCCCTCCTTGGCTGATCTTCACGGCCTCAGTTTCCTCATCTTAAGAACGACGATAATATCAGGGACATTGCAGGCTGTCGTGTGGATTAAGTGAGATTAATGAAGGTAAAATGCACACACGATGCCTGGCTGGAAGGTGGTACACAATGAGTGTTCAGTAAATCAGAATTGGAAAAATGCTGTTGTGCGCCCCTGAGAGGCACACTCCTTCATGGTCTGCAAAGCCAGACTTGGAAATCCAGAACAGCTGAGGCAATAATGCCAAAGGTAGCCAGATCACGCCTCTCCTAGACTTCAAATCTCCTCCTTAGATGGAAACGCCATCCTGCTCCTGCCTGACACTCCAACATCTGTCTCTGCTGTCTTGCTTCCATTTTTATTATGACAATTTCACATGAAAAAGTTGAAAGAATAGTACAGAGGACACACTTAGACTCTCCACCTACAATCAACTGTTGTTACTATGTGGCCATGTGTGCTTTAGACATTGCAGAACCATTTGAAAGGTGGTTTTAGTCACGATGACACATTACCCCTCAGGACGTGGGCAGGCATCTCCCAAGAATGAGCTGTTTTCCCAGGTAACCTCCTCATTATTATCACACCGAAGGAAATGAACAGTCATTCCACAATCACTATCTTGCTCACAGCCACAAAGGTATCTTTCACTTTGTTCCTCAAGCCTTTTCCTGCCTCAGAGCCTTTGCGATTTCTGTGGCCTCTCCCTGGCATCTCCCTCCCCAGATGGTGCTCCACCAACTCTTTCTCACTACTCAGAATCCAGTATAATATCACCTCCCGGGAAAGTCTGTCCCTGCCTGTTTCACCTAAAAATGTTTCCCAGTCACTCTATCCTCCCTCCCCATTTTAGCGTCTTCCTATCATCTGCCTCTCTCTGAAATTGTTCTTGTTTTGTGTCTGTGACCACCGTCTATGTCCCCCTCCCCACTCCCTACCCCACACTAGCTGCAGGAGAGCAGGGGCCGAGTCCATGTGTTTACTGTTGCAGCTGCAGTGCCCAGAACATTGTCTGGCATAGAGTGGATATTTAATAGATACTTGTTAGACAAATGAATAAATATCCTATATGTGATGTTTTCAAACAGAAGAGGTAGTACAGTGGAGTGATTGGACCCCAGTTTTTAGAGATAAATCCACACAGCTTCAATCCCAGTGCTACCACTCACCAGCTGTGTGTTACTGTGGGCCTCTGTCCCTTAAACTCACCTGCCAAATAGGGACAGTGACAATCATCTCTCCACCTTC